ATTTAACATTGTCAGCTTCCAAAAAAGAAGAAGGATGATAAACTAATATGAAACTGATTTTCTCTATTTTGGTTTGAAAGATTACTAATTATTTATTTATTTTTGCTAAAAATTTACCAAATTTTTTTATTAAGATAAAGTTTTACAACTTGATTTGGAGTGTAATATGTATCCAATAGTATCTAATTATGTAAATATTATCTTATTTTAAAGAAGACGAAAATATGTTTGATGAATATACAAATAATGACATAATGGCTTCAAAAAGTTTAAAACCATTTGAAACTTGAATTCACACGAAGACATCAAGATAACATAGGAATATACGTCTTGTTTTTTCATAGCAAATGTTTGCGAAAACAATTGAACATAGCGTAACAGTTCCAATACTTTTCTTATACGTATTCACATGGTACTACACTATTGCTCTAAATACTAATTGTAAAATCATTCAAAAAAAAAAAATCATTCAAGTTTTTTTGTATCACACGTTCACGTGAAAACTGGCATCTTTTTGTTGTTTTTGATCCTTTTTTCACTTATACGGCATAAGACACATTGATCCTTCCTCACTTTCTAGCCAACACCAGAAATCAAATGTCTCTTAATGCTATTTATTCGTTTTTAGGACTTCTCATAACCACTACTTTTTAGTTATGGGTCGTATAGTTGTTATTGTGTTAATAGTGTCGTTGGTATAATAATACAATGCCTTATATATTTTTCGCTACACCTTCAAGGCTTCAACATCCATACTCTTAAGTGATCTACCTCTATCTCCTTACCTTTATACCCTTTTTGAAAAAAACCAGACATAATCTAAACCGTATTTCAAAATCATTTACATTTCAAAAAATGGATGTACTGTTAAAGCATTTCTTAATCTTGGTGAAATAAAACTCCAAGTAACAATATTTGTAGGGAGAGTGTAGTTCTGATTTCTGAGTAACAATACTGAATAACATGCAAATGATTATACTATTATATTGTAGCCGAACTTCGTTAGAATGTAGTCACATAGACGATATTGGTCTACCGACCACTACATTAACATACT